CACTAAATCACTAATGTTCTATTTTCGTATGACAACGTTCTTGCAAGTTGGTGTATATGCAATTCATGTTTTTAAGGACTCAACTGCCACTGTTGCCAAGAGACATGACTATATCCACGTAGACCTGTTGCTAGGCGACAAACTGAATGACAGGTGAGTCGAAAATACAGGTGATATTTTGCTAAATTGTTAGTGGTACACTCTGAAAACTGTTGCCCTCAGATTTTAACATGTGAATTAGGCTACTATATTGCTAAATATCCAAAAACATAGTACGTTTGCGCGCCGCGGTGGGTTTTGCCCTTGCGACCACACTGAAACCATCAAAAACGCATACATTTGAAAATGCCCTCTAGAGTGAAGGAATTTGAAAACGCAGACCATTCATATTAGTGCGGACAGCGAAAAACTGCGGCATTTGAAAACGCTGGCGTCATTCACACCGGCACGTTGTTTGTCGCATGTGCAAATGACGATATTGCATCATTTCCGATCGTATCTGCGTTTTTGATCGTATTAGTTTGAACGGAAGCTATACAATGTTAGTGCAAACGCAAAGCAATCGATGCGTTTTCAGTGCGACAAAAAACGGAGAGTTTCGAAAACGCATTAGTGTGGACGTTGCTTAAGAGCAACATTGCCGCTGTAGTTATCTTCACGTGGTGAATGCACTAGTCCTCAATGCTGCAGCAATGATATATCCCGGTTGTAACTGCGTAGTAACGTTTCTTGCATAAGAGACTGAGAGCGCCTGATCGACCATTGCCTTGAACGTACGTCGCATACATGATGTTTACGAGATCAGGGAAGAAATGGTTCACGCTTAGCGTGCGTCCATCGAGTTATTCCTCTTTGGCTCGCACGCTAATTAACCAATCAAAGTGCGCATTTTACTCAAGCTATGTTATAATGAAATTTGTTGCACGCAACGTTTTAGACTGAAGTAGACATCAATTGACGCTAACCACTGGCGCGCAAAGCTATTCGGGTTCTTTAATTCGAATTATTAAAATATTGTTCTTTGATTGCATTACATAGGGGAAAGTAGTTGCACCAAGTCATATAAGATATATAAATGGATTTCTATTGTTTTAATTTTATAGCTCAAATATACCTCATAACTGGTATATAAGACTGAAGGACAAGATATATAAACCAAGACCAGGTATGGAACTCTTCCTTCTAAAAACCAAGATTCATGAGTTAGTTTGCTTAAAGATATGCACTGTTGTTGGATGTTTCCTGGTAATGCGCAGCCTGTGGTTGTGGATCTAATCCTGGGCCTCGCCATCAGAGTAAAGTTGCTTGTTAGTTCCAACAGTTATAATATAGTAAAAGACATGTATTCATATACTGCATCGACACTTGTTTTTTTTTTTTTTTTT